TGTTTTAATTTGCATCTCTCTTAGGGCTAGGGATTTTGAGCATTTCTTCATGTGTTTGTTAGCCATCTGAATGTCATCTTCGGTGAAGTGCCTGTTCATATCCTGTGCCCATTTTTCTATTGGATTATTAAGTGACTCTTAATGCTCAAAGTGGGCATTAACCATACACTTCCCACAAACATCCTGGGCTGGATTTACAATGGGTGTTACCCAAATCAATGGCCCAAGACACACCTCTACTATTTGCATTTGCACCTAGCAGCAGGATTCCAATACTTGGGATGCCTGTATTCATGCCCTTAAGCTGTGTTCTAAAGGAAAGGGCTGCAGAGGGGTGAGGGGAGGCTGTGGAAGGGAGAAAAGAAAAGCCCAGGGACCACACTAAACCCAGGCTGAGGGTCTTTGAGTTTGTGTCTGCTGTAAGCAGAAATTCAACACTGAGTGCAATCATTCATTTATACGGTGAAAGTAAAAGGATAAAGGATATGGCTTTTTAGAAGAAGATTACTGGGGACTGGAGGGCTAGTTTTACATTCACAATAATTATGTAGTAGGATGTGTAGGCTGAGTCAGAAGGAGGTCAGCTCTGTGCCCTCAACTCTTCATCCGTGCTTCCTCACATGCTTCTCAACAATTTCTTTATTATATGCTGAATTGCAGGGCAGGGACCTGTACAGGAGAAGCAACAACATTCTCAAACAGAACATGAGTCATCACTGGAAGCAGTCATCTGGAGAGGCATTGCCTTTGCATAGATAATAAACTTTGGTGTCAGGTTATCAAAGGATTGACTCAGATGTTACAGGGAAAACCATGGTGCACAAGTCCTGGACCTGGCACCACCAAGTCACAGCGGAGAGGAGGGAATAAGGTGGCAGTCTCTTCCAAATATTAAGAAGGGAAATGGCTTGTCTCTTTTATATATCTTAGTTTGATCTTATTCGAAAAAGATAGACCCAACAAAGATCATACATATTTTTAATCTTTCATCATTAGCTCTAGTCCTGGCTTAGTGGTCAGGACTTGGTGCTATCAACCCAAATGCACACGTTTCAAATCCACCAGCTGCTCTGCAGGAGAAAGATGGGCAGTCTCCTCCTGTGTGATTTACCGCCTCTGAGAAGCCACTAGTCACGGGTCAGCTATGAGTCAGTTCTAATTCTACGGCACATAACAATATATCTGAGGAATTTCTAGCAGTTTTTATTGATAGATGTTCCTAGCCATTTTTTAATATTCTTCAGCAATGTTCTGCTTGAATTTGATATTAAGATATTGTTTGATCACTTCTACATTCTGTTGGATCACCATTTTTTGGAATGGGAACAAACATGGACCTTTTGCAATCAGTTGACCAAGTAGCTGTCTTCTGGATTTTTTTGGCACAGCCTGGTGAGCACATCTCCATCTGTTTGTTGGAATATGCCAATTCCTAGTCCATCAATTCCAAGGCCCTTATTTTTTGCCAATGCCTTCAGTGCACCTTTTCTCCCATAGTTCCACTGGCTCTTGATTATATGCTACCTTCTGAAATTGTTCTGTGTTAGCCAATTCTTTTGGGTACAGTGACTCTGACTGTTCTTTCTATCTTTTGATGCTTCCTGGATCATTCATCATTTTGCCCATAGCATTTCTAAGTTTGCAACTTGAGGCTTGTATGTTCCCGTTCTTTCAGCTTGAGAAATGCCTAGTGAGTTGTTTGCTTTTTATTTTTTAACTGCAGCTTTTTGCACATTTCTATATA